ACAGACCCACACGCAACAGCAAACTCATTTGTCATCTCTACACAGACTAACCTACATTTGTCATCTCGCCAAAAGGCTGGTCCTGAGTGAGGGTACTCTCGTTCCACACGCCCAGCCCAAGGCGAACTCAAACCACACACCATACTCTGGTCTGGTGGGCTGACGGCTGACTGACACGCAAGACGAACTTAAACCACACACCATACTCTGGTCTGGTGGGCTGATGGCTGACTGACACGCAAGGCGAGCTTAAACACAAGCACCGATAGACTTGCACCTCTTTGTATTGTACCCACTGGCAGCAGCAGCAAGCACTCACTTGCAGCCGCCAATGGGGCTGTCTTGCGTGAGGGTGTTTTCGTTCCACACGCCCACAGTGAGGTCAATGGAACACATTGTTCTGGTAGTTGATATGCAGAGGCGATCTCACGCACAATAACCATTCGCTAGCATTGCCCGTCTCCATACTCGCAGCCGCCAATGGGGCTGTCTTGGCTGAAGGTGTTTCGTTCCACACGCCCACAGTCAGGTCAAACATGTTGGGCTGGTAGTTGATGCGGACAGGGAATCTCACACACAAGCTCCGATAGCCTTGCACCTACTCACATCCAGCAGCAAGCACTCACTTGCAGCCGCCAATGGGGCTGTCTTGGCTGAAGGTGTTCTCGTTCCACACGCCCACCGTCAGGTCAAACACGTTGGGCTGGTAGTTGATGCGGACAGGGAATCTCACACACAAGCTCCGATAGCCTTGCACCTACTCACATCCAGCAGCAAGCACTCACTTGCAGCCGCCAATGGGGCTGTCTTGGCTGAAGGTGTTTCGTTCCACACGCCCACAGTCAGGTCAAACATGTTGGGCTGGTAGTTGATGCGGGCAGGGAATCTCACACACAAGCTCCGATAGCCTTGCACCTACTCACATCCAGCAGCAAGCACTCACTTGCAGCCGCCAATGGGGCTGTCTTGGCTGAAGGTGTTCTCGTTCCACACGCCCACCGTCAGGTCAAACACGTTGGGCTGGTAGTTGATGCGGACGGTCTCGTTCCACCTGGGGGTCGTGTGGCCGTCTGAGAGGTGCAAGGAAAGGCAGAGAAGGGCATGGGAAGCAGCATGTGACTGAGTGTTCAGTCAGGTCAAACCTATTGCTGGGCTGGTAGTTGATGCACACTGTCTTGTTCCACTGGGGGGCTGTGTGGCCGCCTGAAGGTGCAAGGAGAGGCAGGGGCGGGAAGCAGCATGTGCATGTGCGAGTGCGTGGCGAGACAGGCCAAAACAGACAAGTTGGGCTGGTACCTCATCCGCACTGTCTCATTCCACTGGGCCAGTCACAAATGGTGCAACCTAAATCAGTAGTGTAGTTGGTCAGTCCTACCTTTGTGAGTGGCCGCACACTTGTTTTGCGAGCCAGAGTGCAGCACCACATAAGGGTTCTGCCAGCCAGCGGCAGAGCTACGTGTCCTGCCTGCTATCCACTTTGCTACGGCTCCTGACCTGCTGTTTTGCCTCTCTAAACCCAACCCACCTTTGTGAGTGGTCGTGCGCTGCGCTTGCATTGTGAGCCGTACTGCAGCACCAAATAACGGTCCTGCCAGCCAGCTGTAAAGCTCTGTGTCCTGACTCCTATCCACTTTGGTACGGCTCCCGACCTAATGTTACCCTCTCTAAACACAACTCACCTTTGTGAGTGGCTGTGCGCTTGCATTGTGAGCCGTACTGCAGCACCACGTAAGGGTCCTGCCAGCCGTAAAGCTCCGTGTCCGTCAGATCCTTGCATCCGACAGCTGACAATGAACCAAGGGGAATGGGGTGAGATGCAAGAGGGGTTTATTTAAAAGGAAGGAAGGGGCTCGGAGACAGGAAAGGGATGGACGGTTTCCGTCTAAAACGGGGCAAGCTGAGACAAGGCGGGAAGGGGTTAGTTATGAAATGCAGTCAAATTCAGTGCCTCACAACAATCTCATTTGATCATGTGATGTAGACTCGAAACGAACTTGTCACCTCATATGCCTCCGGATTTTTCCTTTCCTCTTTATTTTAGCAACGCTCTCCTCCCCATCCCCTCCTCCGCTCCTCCCTCCCTCCTTCCCCGACCCCTTCCCCCACTCCCCCTTCTCTAATTTCTCACGTTCACGGCATTCATTACTGTCCCGCTTTATATGACTGTGAATCGATTGAATAAACGAAACGAGTTATTATGCAACCAGGAAAAAAATCCGCATCAACCCGCTCCTTCATACATTTTCAACGAATAATTCAAATTTGACAAAGTATGCCGATTCTTGAGGAGCATAACGATGACGCGCCTCAAAAGCAGGCTTCGCGTTCAATTAAAAGGAACAGATGAGCCTCGACTATCATTCTTCATCTCCCAGCGCACTCACTCGTCCTAGTTGGTGAACGCTTTTTAAAGAATCTAACGAAAACGCTCCTACTGTGTGTGGGACGAGATGAGCTTCGTTTTCGACAACACATCCTTATATAGCAGCGCGCTTCCTCGTCCAAATTTCTCTTACCTGCGATGCCGTCAATGTGCACTTTAAAGTAAATCTTTTAACCACTCCCTATTCCGAATATGTTTTAGCGGCATGATCGGATGGCGACAAACAACATTGATGTAGTTGCGTAAAATCAGATACGCTTCGATACCTGTGACGAATCATCTGTAGCGTGCTACCATCTCCAACCGTTTTTTCGAAATATATTACCTCTAATGTCCAGCAATATAGCAGCTGTAGAGCTCATGAGTCCAGACCTTGTGACGCATTTTTTAACATATCATTATCCCTAATCGTTGACCTGAAGCATCGTATACCTGTAACGTCCAGCCATCCAGCAGCTGCAGAGCTCATGAGTCCAGACCCTTCCTCCCTCCGCAGCGCTCGTTACTTTCCGTCCCGACACAATCCAAGCCGCGACCGTTACCGTTAGCACAAGAAACCTGCCTGTTTCTACGTCGCTAACCTTCAAAGACGCAGTAGAAACCTAGCAAAAAAAAACTGGAAAAGCTGTTTAATAATCCCTGGAAACTAAAGCTCGTGCTTTCGTTTCTAGGTTAGTGGGGTCAGGACTCGGGACTTGTGTGGGAGTCAATAGCATGATATAGCTCAGCCGACGAATTCCCCCGCCCGTTTTCGCCGCACAGAACCGACAGGGTTCCATTTTAGCTCGCTGTCCGACCGTCGGAATTTGTATGGCAGACTGGGGCACGGAGCCCTAGGGAACGCCGAACGACCGTCGACATTCCCATGGGCTGAGAAATACCCTCAGAGTATATCTCAACGCGTGGCGAGTTGCCAGCAGGACACGTCGACCGCGGATGCACGACACGCGGCGGGTTACGGACGACCTGGATTATGTCCGACCTCCCTCGAATGTCGGCGTCCACACTGGCGTCCACGCGTCACCCGGCCACGCCTCAAGCGTCGTGCGGAAAAGAACGCGCGGGCCGTGAGAATGTCGGTGCATGACACGCGGCGTCAATCGGCGTCACGGGGTAAGTCTACGTGGAAGAAATCGGCGGTCAAATTGAGCGCTGAAGAGGAACAGGTGGGCACCGAAATGTCGGCGAGCATCGACCGGCGAGGCAGGGTCCAGGTGTCGAGCATCGGCGGCCTGGCACGTGCACAGGAATCAGACGTGGGGGCAGGATAAATGTCGGCGCTGGACATGCGGCGTACATCGAACGGCGATGCCGGGTCCAAGTGTCGAACATCGGAGGACTATTTCTTGCACGGGAAAACAGAACACGCGGTGTCCGCAAAGTCGGCGTCAAAGTATCTTGTGATGAACCTGCGGTGTCCGCAAAGTCGGCGTCAAAGTATCTCGTGATGCCAATCACTGGTGGCACGAGTGCGCCATGAATGGACTCTGGACCAATGCCACAAGCCTCGGCGCGCCTTGTATTGCTGCCGTGGCATGCCTTACGAAACACCTTCATGGACAGTCACGGCGGCGTTGTAGTGGCCATGCGAGAGTCGTGGCACGTCGGAGAATGCGCCGCCTCGCGTGGACAGCGGCATGAATGCCAAGTGTACAGAACCTTGCCTGCACGGTGGCATGTGCCGAGCCGCGCACGTCCATGACCTCTCCGGAGCCAAGCTGCCACTAGCCATTTTTCCTACTCCCACTTCCTTTCGTCACTTCTTACGCCTGCGCTCTCACACTTAGTTTTTTTCCACCAGGACACGCTCTGCGGAGAACACCGCGGCTCCGGCGTCTGACGCCGACCAACAGGTGAGACCGATTATCGGGGCACTGGGTTTCGTTGGTCGTAGCAGCCGATTTCACAGTTTCGTCGCCCGTTTTAAACGGGAGGCACAATCGCCCAGATCCGTGGAGAAAGGCCGAGATTGGTTTAGGGTTGCGCTGTGCGTGGTCGGCGACCGGCCTGGTGCAACGCCGGCGGAAACAAACCCACCTGAGGGGGACATCGCCGCGCAGTTGGCGCAAGCTTCTCTCGCCGCCCGCTTAGAGACAGACACTAGGGTCACTAGGTCACTAGAAGCGAACACAACGCAGCAACAGTACGCCGCCGCCGTTACCCAATACCGCCATTTTATGCCCGACCCGCCGACCAACTCGCCGGCTGGCCCTCAGTAGACAACAAGCGCTGTTAGGACATACGGCCGAGGCCAACATGTCGGACTACGTTCCGCTGGCAGCCCAGGCGCGGGTGAACCTGACCGGTGGCGCCACAACGCCGGCCGGCGTCCGCCCCACCACCATTCCGGCAGTGACGCTGCGTCTGATTTACTATCTAGATGCGTTGGCTAAAATTCTCGTCGACCCTGACATTCCGCCGCCACCTGTAGGCGACCCCCAAAAGCGACGTCCTAGCCAGCTGGAGGAGGACTCTTCGTCTAGCGATGAGGAGGAGGAACCCCAGCCCGGCCCGGGACCTAGACGCCAACGTCGGCCGCTCAATCGAGCCGAGAGGGATCGAAGAGAGATAGAGGAGGCGTTGGCCGAGAGTTTAGGGTTTAGGGTTTAGGGCCAACATGTCGGACTACGTTCCGCTGGCAGCCCAGGCGCGGGTGAACCTGACCGGTGACGCCACAACGCCGGCCGGCGTCCGCCCCACCACCATTCCGGCAGTGACGCTGCGTCTGATTTACTATCTAGATGCGTTGGCTAAAATTCTCGTCGACCCTGACATTCCGCCGCCACCTGTAGGCGACCCCCAAAAGCGACGTCCTAGCCAGCTGGAGGAGGACTCTTCGTCTAGCGATGAGGAGGAGGAACCCCAGCCCGGCCCGGGACCTAGACGCCAACGTCGGCCGCTCAATCGAGCCGAGAGGGATCGAAGAGAGATAGAGGAGGCGTTGGCCGAGGACGAACTCGAGGATAGGCTGTACGCGAGCGTCCCGCGAGGAGAGTTTACTGCGGCTGAGTTTGTGGTCGAGGATCTGAAGAACAGCGACATTGAAGTGCTGATAGCCAATGCCCTTCGCCACACGGAGACGCTCGAGGAAGGGTCGTCGCTGCAGCAGAACATATCGTGGATACTAGACTACAAGCGGTGGGCGGTGGATGCTCTTCCGTCAGAAGGTGACGACCTGGAGCCGGGGTCCATACTCACTGACAAGGACAAAATTGGCAAGCACATCGGCGATGATTTGGGCGAACGTTGGCACACCGCCCCGCGCCAGTTCATCTGGTTGCACGGCCCGAGGACCAACGAGCCTCGAATTCGCGCTTACGTCTTGTTCAGAGCGCGAGAGACCCTCATCGAGGCAATGAGGAGCGAAGAGGGCAACACCGCCATGCGCACGCAGCCGATCAAGCCTTGCACGGTCAACATGCTACTCGGCCGCATCAAGGCCCTTCAGATGGCGGCAAGGTAGAGGCGACCCTGTACAAGGAGAAGGAGCTGCACATCATGCAGGACATCTCGGTCGTCCGCACGGAAGTGCGCGTCATGGTTCGCGGAAAGAACAAAGCCGACACCAAGTAAGATGTTTTAACATCGCCGACTTTGCCAGTCCTCTCTAGTATTCCCGCCAATGCTCACCGACGCCGCTCGCACTCAATCATCACCCTCACACTCTCCTCTTGTGCAGAAAATATGTCGACCGACATCGCGGAACCATCGGCGACACTTACACCACCGAGCAGTTCCGCAAAATCATGTTCAAGGTGTTGCCGCACTGGTCGGCGACGGCTTGGAATCCGAGGGGAACAGGTCCTTCCCAGACTCTGTGGAAGTTCATGCTTATGAGAACGATGACCCTGCTATCGCACCACACTCTGCTCCGCGGTGCCAGCGTACGCGAGATCACGCTCGCCGACATCTTTCTGTACCGCCTTGCTAGCGGGTCGTCGGTGAACCCTGACAACCGGCCAATGGTCATGGTCATCGAGCAGCGCAACTCGAAGACGTGCAAGGACGCCCGTCTTCATCACAGCTACGCGGCGAGGCACTTAGAGGCGGAACTGTATGTTGTGGGCGATACAATCCTCTGGCTGCACTTCATCTACGACCAGGTCCCCCAGATCTTCGGCGTCCCCATAATTCCGCCGCTGGACGTACGCCGACCGGAGCTCTGGTACAACAAGCATCTCTTCTTCGCCCGCTACGACAAGGATCAGGGTTTGCTGCCGTCGTCGAGCCAGCAACGAATCACTCGGCAGCTGTGGACGGCCAACAAGGTTTTCATCAAGCGCAACGTGCACGCCGCTCGCGCCGGCAGGGCAGAAGAGTTGGCTGACCAAGGCACGCCGCGCGCCGAGATAGCCGAATTGGGTCACTGGGCTATTGACAAGATGACGAGGAGTTACATCACTTCAATTCCAGTCGGGGTGGTGATGAGGAAGGCCGGCTACTCCGGAGCCCGAAGCGACTACTTCCTGGGCCGCAACAGGCTACCTCCCAGCGCAGACCTCGAAAAAACCATCGCCGCGCACATATTTCCCGGCGTCGAGGAACAGTTGGGGGCGGTGAGTGTAGCGACGCCGTCCTCATGCATCTTGTCGTCTCTCTTCACTGGTTCACACCGACATTTCTCTATTTCATGCAGGCGGAAGAGCTCGCACAAGGGCCTAGGGCGAACACGGCCGCGGTGCACTTCATCCAGACCATGCTGGATGCACGCCGCATTGCGGCCGAGGACCTCGCGATGAAACTCGTCCGCACTTCGTGGCACCCTCAGGTCCAGGCTTCGAGGCTTTGTCGGGATCGCGACTTTCAGGCGTGGGCGAAGGACATCGAGAAGATTGACACCGAGACGATCGCCAAGCACCGGTCGCCGATCCCGACCCAGCCAGCTGTAAGCACAACATGAACTCCGCGTGACTTGGCGGCAAGCGTGCTTGCATCACCTGACTCCTAACCCGCTCCGCTGCTGTTCGCAGGAAATCTCAGCCCGCCTGGACGCCGAATTTCAGGTCGACCTTCTAAAACAAGACGCTGGCCCACGAGAGGCACAAAGCGACGCTCAAGCAGATGAAGGTGGAGAAGGAGCTCGAGGAGGCGCGTGCTGCTATCGCGGCGAGGGACGCCGAGATCTCCCGGCTCATGGAGGAGCTCAAGATCTCCGAGGCACGTAGGGCGCCAGCGCCACAGGCGCCTTCTAGGCCGACGACCCTGGAAGAGGAGGCAGCTGCGGCCGCTAAGCAAGCTCAGTTGGACGCCGACGCTCACTACGAGGCCCTGGTTGTGAACCCATGGAGAAAGGTCGAGACTGTGGCAGAGGCCTGGCGCTTCTGGAACTGCCCCACCACCACGGACCGCCGGCATCTCTGCGACAGGATCAACGAGCCAGGTTTCATCGGGCGGCACAGCCTCCTGGGCAAGTCGTCGGCCAGCGCAAAACGGGGTGAGATGCGCCGAATGAGGAGGGCGATGGAGGCCGTGCGCCGCTTCCGTTCGTCAGACGGAGAGGCCGACACCGCCGCCGTCATCAAGAAACTCGACGAGCTCGCTGCGTCGGGAATTGTGACCTTCTGCGATGCTCTGAAGATCATCGACGCCGATACGCTTCCGATACGCACGGAGGGGAACCTGGGCATCAAGGGGCTTTCTAAGGGTGAAAAGCCCAAGCTGACGGTTGCTTGGGGACTGGTGGCGGCGGGATACATGACGCACAAGTGGGGCGAGGACATGTTCCCAACCACGTGGGAAGAGCAGAAAGCTGTGGCGGCCCAAACGGCCGCGGAGCAGGCCGCTGCTAGACCGCCGCCGCTGCCGACGAAGACGTCCAAGCGTCGGAAGCCGGGCTGATGTTTTGTCGCCGCTTAGCTACTTTCTTTTAGCTTGATTGTGACTTTTGTTTCCGACTTACTGTGGATTCAATGTTCCCAACAGTTGAGAATTTGCCAAAGAACCGAAAACATGAGGGCGTTTCATGAACAGCAAATTAACCTACGTGCTAGAAACACAGCAAAAGTGCACAATAAAAGTAGGCGCCCACCAAAACCCCACAATCAATCAACAATCTTGCTACACATTGCGACGTTGGTCCAGAACACAACGTCAGACACAACAACAAAACCCATCTACGCGGCGTGCTTCCCCTTCTGTCCCTTCTTTCCCCTGTTATCCATATCCTTCTCCATCTGCTTGTCCAGCGGCACTTGAATGCCGCGTGCTCAGAGAAGGGGGCCGCCGGCGTTGCACGACCCCCAGAAAGCGAGGGTCTCGATAGTCGCCCTCGCGATAATCTCGGCGTCGGGTGTGGGGTCACAGCCCTTGCACGCCTTCCGAAGAGCATCCTTCTGCAGTGCGTCGGTGACGTTGCACGAGACCTCTCCCAGGACGGGTTGTCTCGCAACCGCCGTTTCTAGCACCACAACCACGACGTCGTGACAAGTGTCAGCAAAATCGGTGCTCGCTTCACACAGCAGTGCCGCCGCCTTCGCTTCACCCGCCGCATTGCCGACCTCGGCCACGGTCTCGGCGAAGCACCAGACCGCGCAAGATGAAGTAGCGACAGCTTGGCCTATGCGCTTGGCGTCTGCACCAGTTTTGGGGACGGCATTTGCCGCAACTGGCACAAACGCCGCGCACAAGCAAGCGCGGTTGATGATGTCGCTGAGCTGCTGCTTGCGCTTGGCCGGCTCCCAACCAGTGCCGAACCACACCGCCGGCCTCAGCAATTTCATCAGCGGGGGCCCTGATGACTTCTTCTGTTTGAAGTTGGCGAGGACTTTCTGGAACCTGTCACGCACGACGTTGGAACGTGAACGTGGTCAGTCGGCGTAAAACCCCACAGTCAAACCTATATCACGCCGCTCAAAACACATCGAGTCCCACGATTCTTACCGTGCACGAAACATGGTGGCGCCGCGGGACCACATCACCGTCCACATACCCTTCGGCATCACCTTCGCCTCCTCCCACTCCGCCTTCCACCGCGTCATTTCTTCGGCTTTAACGCCGGTCATTTCGACCAATAGGAGTTGGCTGGCGTGTCCGTCGAAGATGGTCGTCGCAACGCCGTTGAGGTACGCCACTTCCATCCTGTCGTCCGATCTCCCCGTGTAGCGACTCTTTCCAGCCAGGTTTACCTCGCCCTGCCACCCGCCACCGCTCGTCCTGTCCAGCCTAATACCATGCCCCCTGCGATCTTTCGGAACGACGGCCTTCTGCGACGCGGCGGCTTTACCCTTCCGTTTCTTCTTTTTTTCGCCGACTCCAGCCGCACGATCGGTCTGTCCATCCTTGTCGGCGTGTTCACCCACTGGTCCACCGGCCAGAACAGTGGACGTCTCCGCCTGACCCGCCAGGTCCGCAACAGTGACGCCCGCCGACCTGTCCGAAGGCCCGGCCTGGCCGGCCTGAGTAGCCACTGTAACGGCGGTGGGCCGAGTGGACTCTCCCGCCAGACCAGCCTGGTCAGAACCAGTGACGCCGCTCGGGCCGGTCTGGAAGGCCCTATCCACCTGTATGAAGCCGACAGGATGACTCTGAATAGGCGGAACAGCCTGGCCGGCTACACTGACGCCGGTGGACGCCAAACGGGCCGGCTGCACGGTCTGCCCGGCCTAGGTGGACGATGTAACACCGGCAGGCCGACCCTCCACGCCACTGATGCCCGACGTACCTCCCACAGACTGAAGTGCGGCAACTTCGTCTACTTCTATCGCCGCTTGTATCAATTCCACATCCTCGTCCTCGATGATGAGAGGGATCTCCCCCGCACCATCCTCTCCTGCCACCGCGCCCCAATCACCTTGTCCAGACGCCGCGCCAACCTGGTGATGCGTTGGTACCGCCGTTGGAACCGTCTCGTTTGCCGCTTCTTGGTGTACGGGCTCCGCCAAGTTCACCGTGGTCGGCGCAGTGCGCGTGCCGTGAGTCTGCGGTTGAGCGGATTATGCACCTGCTGAAAGCGCGTTGACCTTGGCCATCAGCATGTCCGAGACTGGGTCCGACGGCGTGGCAACAGCGGCAGGGAGCTGCATGGTCGGCGCAGCGCTGGTGACAGTAGTTGGCGGATGCGATGAAGGTGCCGCCGCTTGAAACGAGTTGACCGCGGCTAGAAGCATGGCCGCGACCGGGTCTGTGAGGGTCTGACCGGCGTTGTCTTGCCCCGTGCTTGGCGCTGCAACGGGCCCAGATGTCGGCAAGGTAGAGGCGACCCTGTACAAGGAGAAGGAGCTGCACATCATGCAGGACATCTCGGTCGTCCGCACGGAAGTGCGCGTCATGGTTCGCGGAAAGAACAAAGCCGACACCAAGTAAGATGTTTTAACATCGCCGACTTTGCCAGTCCTCTCTAGTATTCCCGCCAATGCTCACCGACGCCGCTCGCACTCAATCATCACCCTCACACTCTCCTCTTGTGCAGAAAATATGTCGACCGACATCGCGGAACCATCGGCGACACTTACACCACCGAGCAGTTCCGCAAAATCATGTTCAAGGTGTTGCCGCACTGGTCGGCGACGGCTTGGAATCCGAGGGGAACAGGTCCTTCCCAGACTCTGTGGAAGTTCATGCTTATGAGAACGATGACCCTGCTATCGCACCACACTCTGCTCCGCGGTGCCAGCGTACGCGAGATCACGCTCGCCGACATCTTTCTGTACCGCCTTGCTAGCGGGTCGTCGGTGAACCCTGACAACCGGCCAATGGTCATGGTCATCGAGCAGCGCAACTCGAAGACGTGCAAGGACGCCCGTCTTCATCACAGCTACGCGGCGAGGCACTTAGAGGCGGAACTGTATGTTGTGGGCGATACAATCCTCTGGCTGCACTTCATCTACGACCAGGTCCCCCAGATCTTCGGCGTCCCCATAATTCCGCCGCTGGACGTACGCCGACCGGAGCTCTGGTACAACAAGCATCTCTTCTTCGCCCGCTACGACAAGGATCAGGGTTTGCTGCCGTCGTCGAGCCAGCAACGAATCACTCGGCAGCTGTGGACGGCCAACAAGGTTTTCATCAAGCGCAACGTGCACGCCGCTCGCGCCGGCAGGGCAGAAGAGTTGGCTGACCAAGGCACGCCGCGCGCCGAGATAGCCGAATTGGGTCACTGGGCTATTGACAAGATGACGAGGAGTTACATCACTTCAATTCCAGTCGGGGTGGTGATGAGGAAGGCCGGCTACTCCGGAGCCCGAAGCGACTACTTCCTGGGCCGCAACAGGCTACCTCCCAGCGCAGACCTCGAAAAAACCATCGCCGCGCACATATTTCCCGGCGTCGAGGAACAGTTGGGGGCGGTGAGTGTAGCGACGCCGTCCTCATGCATCTTGTCGTCTCTCTTCACTGGTTCACACCGACATTTCTCTATTTCATGCAGGCGGAAGAGCTCGCACAAGGGCCTAGGGCGAACACGGCCGCGGTGCACTTCATCCAGACCATGCTGGATGCACGCCGCATTGCGGCCGAGGACCTCGCGATGAAACTCGTCCGCACTTCGTGGCACCCTCAGGTCCAGGCTTCGAGGCTTTGTCGGGATCGCGACTTTCAGGCGTGGGCGAAGGACATCGAGAAGATTGACACCGAGACGATCGCCAAGCACCGGTCGCCGATCCCGACCCAGCCAGCTGTAAGCACAACATGAACTCCGCGTGACTTGGCGGCAAGCGTGCTTGCATCACCTGACTCCTAACCCGCTCCGCTGCTGTTCGCAGGAAATCTCAGCCCGCCTGGACGCCGAATTTCAGGTCGACCTTCTAAAACAAGACGCTGGCCCACGAGAGGCACAAAGCGACGCTCAAGCAGATGAAGGTGGAGAAGGAGCTCGAGGAGGCGCGTGCTGCTATCGCGGCGAGGGACGCCGAGATCTCCCGGCTCATGGAGGAGCTCAAGATCTCCGAGGCACGTAGGGCGCCAGCGCCACAGGCGCCTTCTAGGCCGACGACCCTGGAAGAGGAGGCAGCTGCGGCCGCTAAGCAAGCTCAGTTGGACGCCGACGCTCACTACGAGGCCCTGGTTGTGAACCCATGGAGAAAGGTCGAGACTGTGGCAGAGGCCTGGCGCTTCTGGAACTGCCCCACCACCACGGACCGCCGGCATCTCTGCGACAGGATCAACGAGCCAGGTTTCATCGGGCGGCACAGCCTCCTGGGCAAGTCGTCGGCCAGCGCAAAACGGGGTGAGATGCGCCGAATGAGGAGGGCGATGGAGGCCGTGCGCCGCTTCCGTTCGTCAGACGGAGAGGCCGACACCGCCGCCGTCATCAAGAAACTCGACGAGCTCGCTGCGTCGGGAATTGTGACCTTCTGCGATGCTCTGAAGATCATCGACGCCGATACGCTTCCGATACGCACGGAGGGGAACCTGGGCATCAAGGGGCTTTCTAAGGGTGAAAAGCCCAAGCTGACGGTTGCTTGGGGACTGGTGGCGGCGGGATACATGACGCACAAGTGGGGCGAGGACATGTTCCCAACCACGTGGGAAGAGCAGAAAGCTGTGGCGGCCCAAACGGCCGCGGAGCAGGCCGCTGCTAGACCGCCGCCGCTGCCGACGAAGACGTCCAAGCGTCGGAAGCCGGGCTGATGTTTTGTCGCCGCTTAGCTACTTTCTTTTAGCTTGATTGTGACTTTTGTTTCCGACTTACTGTGGATTCAATGTTCCCAACAGTTGAGAATTTGCCAAAGAACCGAAAACATGAGGGCGTTTCATGAACAGCAAATTAACCTACGTGCTAGAAACACAGCAAAAGTGCACAATAAAAGTAGGCGCCCACCAAAACCCCACAATCAATCAACAATCTTGCTACACATTGCGACGTTGGTCCAGAACACAACGTCAGACACAACAACAAAACCCATCTACGCGGCGTGCTTCCCCTTCTGTCCCTTCTTTCCCCTGTTATCCATATCCTTCTCCATCTGCTTGTCCAGCGGCACTTGAATGCCGCGTGCTCAGAGAAGGGGGCCGCCGGCGTTGCACGACCCCCAGAAAGCGAGGGTCTCGATAGTCGCCCTCGCGATAATCTCGGCGTCGGGTGTGGGGTCACAGCCCTTGCACGCCTTCCGAAGAGCATCCTTCTGCAGTGCGTCGGTGACGTTGCACGAGACCTCTCCCAGGACGGGTTGTCTCGCAACCGCCGTTTCTAGCACCACAACCACGACGTCGTGACAAGTGTCAGCAAAATCGGTGCTCGCTTCACACAGCAGTGCCGCCGCCTTCGCTTCACCCGCCGCATTGCCGACCTCGGCCACGGTCTCGGCGAAGCACCAGACCGCGCAAGATGAAGTAGCGACAGCTTGGCCTATGCGCTTGGCGTCTGCACCAGTTTTGGGGACGGCATTTGCCGCAACTGGCACAAACGCCGCGCACAAGCAAGCGCGGTTGATGATGTCGCTGAGCTGCTGCTTGCGCTTGGCCGGCTCCCAACCAGTGCCGAACCACACCGCCGGCCTCAGCAATTTCATCAGCGGGGGCCCTGATGACTTCTTCTGTTTGAAGTTGGCGAGGACTTTCTGGAACCTGTCACGCACGACGTTGGAACGTGAACGTGGTCAGTCGGCGTAAAACCCCACAGTCAAACCTATATCACGCCGCTCAAAACACATCGAGTCCCACGATTCTTACCGTGCACGAAACATGGTGGCGCCGCGGGACCACATCACCGTCCACATACCCTTCGGCATCACCTTCGCCTCCTCCCACTCCGCCTTCCACCGCGTCATTTCTTCGGCTTTAACGCCGGTCATTTCGACCAACAGGAGTTGGCTGGCGTGTCCGTCGAAGATGGTCGTCGCAACGCCGTTGAGGTACGCCACTTCCATCCTGTCGTCCGATCTCCCCGTGTAGCGACTCTTTCCAGCCAGGTTTACCTCGCCCTGCCACCCGCCACCGCTCGTCCTGTCCAGCCTAATACCATGCCCCCTGCGATCTTTCGGAACGACGGCCTTCTGCGACGCGGCGGCTTTACCCTTCCGTTTCTTCTTTTTTTCGCCGACTCCAGCCGCACGATCGGTCTGTCCATCCTTGTCGGCGTGTTCACCCACTGGTCCACCGGCCAGAACAGTGGACGTCTCCGCCTGACCCGCCAGGTCCGCAACAGTGACGCCCGCCGACCTGTCCGAAGGCCCGGCCTGGCCGGCCTGAGTAGCCACTGTAACGGCGGTGGGCCGAGTGGACTCTCCCGCCAGACCAGCCTGGTCAGAACCAGTGACGCCGCTCGGGCCGGTCTGGAAGGCCCTATCCACCTGTATGAAGCCGACAGGATGACTCTGAATAGGCGGAACAGCCTGGCCGGCTACACTGACGCCGGTGGACGCCAAACGGGCCGGCTGCACGGTCTGCCCGGCCTAGGTGGACGATGTAACACCGGCAGGCCGACCCTCCACGCCACTGATGCCCGACGTACCTCCCACAGACTGAAGTGCGGCAACTTCGTCTACTTCTATCGCCGCTTGTATCAATTCCACATCCTCGTCCTCGATGATGAGAGGGATCTCCCCCGCACCATCCTCTCCTGCCACCGCGCCCCAATCACCTTGTCCAGACGCCGCGCCAACCTGGTGATGCGTTGGTACCGCCGTTGGAACCGTCTCGTTTGCCGCTTCTTGGTGTACGGGCTCCGCCAAGTTCACCGTGGTCGGCGCAGTGCGCGTGCCGTGAGTCTGCGGTTGAGCGGATTATGCACCTGCTGAAAGCGCGTTGACCTTGGCCATCAGCATGTCCGAGACTGGGTCCGACGGCGTGGCAACAGCGGCAGGGAGCTGCATGGTCGGCGCAGCGCTGGTGACAGTAGTTGGCGGATGCGATGAAGGTGCCGCCGCTTGAAACGAGTTGACCGCGGCTAGAAGCATGGCCGCGACCGGGTCTGTGAGGGTCTGACCGGCGTTGTCTTGCCCCGTGCTTGGCGCTGCAACGGGCCCAGATGTCGGCGGATCAGCAAATGGTGCTGCCGTGTGACGCGCGTTGACATCGGCCGAGACCGGGGCTGTTGGTGCTGTACCGGCGACAGGTTGCGCCCCCCCGTGAGTTGTTGGGACAGCGGCGTTGTCGATGGTGACGGGCTGCTGCTGCGATGGCGCCTGAAAAGCAAGAAGCTCCTCCATCAACGCTCTCGCCACGGGATCATCCTCCACGCCGAGGGCGCCCGTGTCCCCCCCCACGCCGACCACAGGAGCCTGGTGAGTCTGATCGCCGATTGACGGAGCCTCAACATCGAATGGCGGCCCGCAATCAATGCCTATCGCCGCGTCGGCCTGCACTTCAACCGATTCAACGGCGACGTTACCACGATCGAACGGCGGTGGTGCTACCTCGCTTGCTCCAGGACGTGGAATCTCCGGACCTTTCCTTCCACCGCCGTGAATGGAAGACCCGCCGGCTCGCACGCCCTCCTCGGCGGCAGTCCGCCTCAGCACCAACAGCCTTCTTCCCTGCACGCTCCTCCTCCTCCTCTTCATCCTCCACCTCTTCATCCTCCTCCTCCTCGGATCCCGACTCTGACTCTGAGTCAGTAGATGACTCCTCAACGGACCCTGCCCTCCGCTCCTCTCCTCCTACCAAGTCGGCCTCGCCACCGCCGCCAACATGACCGCTAGTTCTAGTGTCGTGCACGCCGAAATACACCGGGTGATACATGCTAGCTTGAGACGCCGTCTTAGTTTCGATTCTGTCGTTGTTGAGGGGGGAGGTACTTGGCCCAGTAGGGTGATTGGACGGTGCCGACCGCCTCTCAGCAACGCATCTCTTGACGTATTCCACTAGCGCCGATTTGAGTGCCCTCAACCCCTGAACCATCGGGTTCTCAGCGCTCGCCGGTGCACGTAACTTGAGTAGGGCTCCGCGCTCTCTGACCACCCATCCGAACGTGCTCACAGCAAGCAATCCGGTGCCGACCTGCTCGTTCTTCACAATGTCCGGCAATCTCTGCGTACAACCGTTGCAAGGGCAGGCTAGGTGAGCCGAGGGTGTACCAACGCAAGCACAGTTAGACGACCAATTAAAGTTGGCTATAAGGTCGACAGAAACTCACGTCGCGCGTGGGCCCGTTGCAACCGGCGAGTCGAGCCACCACGACCTCCTCACCGGGAGACGCCCACTTCCATGTCTTGTCACTTCTTCCAAGCTCGGCCAAAACACAGCGCCGGAAAAAGCTGCAACAGCAGTGCACGAAAGAGTAAATGGGGACGCCGTCGAGAAACCAGTAACCTGGTAAAGAGCCTTCCCAATTTAAGCATGCCTACCTCACCACGGTGAGCGCCTCAGACGAATGCAGCCGGTTTGCAGTCTTCGGGTCCAGGTGGCGGAACGAGGTCTCGCTGTCGACGTCGATGGCCTTCAGCAAGTCGCCGGGCCGAAGAACCACGACGACGTTGCAGTGGACCCCGGGAAGCGGCCCGATCCTGCACATGAACCATGTGACGCCGATACAAAACATCGAAGTCCAACATGACGTCAACGACAACGCAACATCGCACTTTCTCACGTCGTTATTATAGGTAGCACGGTAATGTCGGCGTCGAACACCGACTCAAAACAGGTGAGGTCGTTCTTCTTAATCGCCTCGCGAAGACGGCTGCACCCTATGATCCACGGCTTCAAGTCCATCGGAGCTTCGCGAATCCACATGTACCTGCAGTCAACGAACTCGTGGGGACATGTGGCATCGGTTCAGGATTGCGAACTCGTTGCCGGCAAAAGTATATAGGATAGCGGCCTTGAACGCCGACATGGACGCGCTCACGACAAACCTAGGCGTGAAAACCTTTCGTTGACCGAAATCCTATCGACCGGTAGTAACTAATTCTGCAACGTTGAGTCGGCCTGTAGTTACTAAGTCGGCGGAACAATGAGGTTACTAGGTCGGGGGGAAAAAGAGACACGGACGCCGTCGCTTACTCGCACGCCGAATTAGTAACACGCTCCAAATAATAACATCCTATAGGTCGTCGGGATAAAAAATGACCGCCGGTTCTATGCGGCGAAAATGGCCGGGGGAATTCGTCGGCTGAGCTATATCATGCTGTACTAAGTCGGCAACAGTGAAGTTACTAGGTCGGCGGGAAATGGACATGGACATCGTCGCTAACTCACACGCCGGATTAGTAACTCGTTCTAACGAATAACATCGTCTAGGTCGGCGGGGCGGTGGGTTAAAAAAGAGCTACTAAGTCGACGGAAAGCAAAAGTGGACAAGGGTTCCGCCTTGACTGAAGGAGGGACTCACTTGAGCGCGAGTGCGAAGCAAGGCTCGTTGAAGTCCTTTTTCGTGGCGTGCAGCACGGCGAAGTCCTTCTCGTCAAAAGAGAAGGTGTAGAGGCGAATGTTGAAGTACAGGGGGAAGTCCGCCGAGGACGGCGTCGGCGTTGCGGCGCCCGTCGTCGGGTGAGCGGCGCCACTATCCAACTCCATGATTGCAAAGGCACGACACTACCGGCGACCAAAGGCACGACACTACAGGCTATCTAGCAGCAGCAGGACGGAGGAAGGCGCAGAGGTGAGAAATGTGAAAGGCGAAATGAGAAGAGCAAAATGAGGCGTCGGTCACTCCGTCCACAAAGATAAGGCACGACGGACGCAGACCAAGG